AATAGATATTATATATATATATATATATATATATATATATATATATATTTTAGCAAACACAAATTTTGATGCAAACGCAGCAGGAGATGCAGAATTCTATTTTAAATACTTGACACAATCTGACCGTCGAAAATTTGAATAATGTATTTTATGGCGCTATTTTCATGTAATAACATGGAGATGGATGAGGGTAAACAGGAGTGTCAGATAAGCGAGACATTCCATAAATATGTACGTGAATAAAAGTAGTACATTTGCGTCGGCACACCCTCTCTCTGGTTAAATTCTCGCTCTTATCGCGTTCGTCAACGGATGGAAAAAAGTGACACTATTACGCGACTGTTTTCGAAGACAATTCGATAATGAATATGCAAACTCTATACATCGAGTTTAAAAAGAAAAAAGCTAAAGTAAATTTAGACCAAACCAAACATGTAACAAATGATTTGAGAGACACGTAAAATTTCGAGTACTTGTAGAAATCAAATGTGTGTCTGCAGAAATCATGTAAATCTAATGCAATGTTGTTTGAAAACAATAACAAACTATATTTTAGTCATAATAGTCTTCATAGTCGTTTGAGAAAAGATCAGATAAAAAGCTAATTAACATTAACTAATTAATCTTTCCTAAAATATTTTTTATACATGCGTGTATAAATCTTTTTTGATGTCACTACAACATTAGGTCACTACAACATTATTCATTAGGTATGAAAAGATCTCCAGTTTTCTTCTAAGCGACTCTAACCGATTTGCTAATCAGCCTTACCATTGTCCATGACGAATTCTAAAAAAGGACATCAAAATAGTAACGCGTTATCGATATAATTAATATGTAATTAATATTTCAAGCTCTGTTAAACAATTGTTAAACAAGAACTCTTAAATAGAGTAAGAATTTTTCATTAGTATGCAGAAAATATATTATCGTACAATTTCTGAGATGACAAATCTCCTTCTTGTTGCACTTAAACGCCAAGATATCAGTTTAATAATCAATTTAGACGATCTATGACATTATATAATATATATTTTTATTTATTGTCTACTTAACAAAAGACAATATCATGAAAACACTCTACTCAGAGCAGTCATTCAGCAAAATTTCTATCTAGAATGTCGCTAAATTTAGTGTTGCGTATCGCAAGTTAAGCTCGTATTGCTTGGTCGCACGAGAGACTGTAATTGGCTAAGTGGTTTGTCTCGTTATTGCACGTGCAGATGCACTTACAAAACTATATATTAAGAATGATTCTCTCGGATATTCTATTATTTTAATATGTATAAATTACGTTCAAAGTGTTACATCAATCAGTATTAAAGCGTAAAAAATGAACAGAAAATGCTTCTTGACAGAAAATGCTTCTTTAATCCTGCAAACTTTTATCACACATAACTCGCATTAATAAAAAAATTTAAAAATTTTACATTTATTAAAGAAACATGCAAATATTTTTGCTGCAAAATTTTGTATAAACATTACGAAGGTTTTCTTTTTATTAATATCGTTTAAATTAACGTACCAAAAATGCCAACTAATCAGAGAGCCATTAATTTATTTAAAAAAAAAAAGAAAGTAAAGTCTAATCTACTAAATTTAAATGAGAAGAATGTTGAATACAGATACATAAAAAGCTCCGATGTACTCAGCATCAAATGAGACTAAGAGTATAACTGTAGAATACTACGTTGCGTGCGAAAATGCAATAAATAGATAAAACTACGGACGGGCGTTGGTTTCCTGTGAAATTGTATAGACATCCGAGTTGTACGTTTCTAAAGCGAAAGTAAATAAATTGTGACTTTTATGTTGCACAAAATACACACACATATACACACACACGCGCGCGCGCGCGCGCGCATCTCTGACCTATTAATTATTATTATTATAAGAAAAAAAATGGGAAAGAAGAGAACCGATTAACGACAGAAATGTCTTACATTCTACGAATAAAAGAAAACACATACAAGAGAAAGGAAGCAAACGAAGAAACTAAATAAAAGAGGTAGAAAGAAGGGAGAAGGGAGAGGTAACCACTTACGCTTGCTGATTAGGTTGTAACCCTAATAAACTCGGAGCAACAAGTTTGTCGCATATGTGCTGTTACCGCTACTAACTACGTGAGATAACAGTTCGCAAGATGTCGTGCCCGACAAGAGTTATTCGAAAAGAAAAAGAGCGCGTGTTGATTGAATGATACGATGACAATCGGAGAAAACAACAAATAACTAGCGAGAATAATATAATGAGCGATATCTCTTTGATATGACGTACAAACTATTTCATAAGACTATAAGACGAGGAAAAAAACAGTGACAAAAATGTGGCTTGAATCTTCTAATTATTCAAATATTTTGTGAAAAAGAAAACAAATTTTTCTCATGGCAGAAGAGAAATAAATCTCCTTTTTAAAATGACAAACCAAAAGACAATACATCTTTAATGAGTCTTAAATCAAACAATTCAATAAATTAAGTATTTCACACGTGTGTGTTAATTATTATAATTTTATTGAAATTAATTTGTAATATTTACACGTTTATTATGTCGTCGGTTATCTCTTTTGATGACAATGTTATTGTAAACTTCAAATTATTACTCTAATAAACCAAGCTACAAATGGAAATTCCAGATGACTCAGAAAATAATACACAGAAAAACATTTGTATGGCAAATAAGACGTGAGACATTACACGTTCTACGTAATAATGATCAACGAATCACGCGTAATTATGATATTGACTTATCAGCGATAATTTTATCTAGATTAAGATCTAAACTCAAGGTTGTCAATTTAAATCGAATCGAGCGGAAGGTGTTCCATTGAATCGAAGAGATTTAAGAGCGGCGTTCAGAATTCATAAAATTAAAATAAACCGGCGGCATATATGTGTTTTGCATACATGTACATGATGTACAATGCGAAAACAAGTTCACGTGACGATCACATCGTGAGACGATCACTTCGTTCCGATTATTATCATCACGTCAAAAGCGAGATCCTGCAGGATATACGACCGCTCTCTTGCATGACGAAGAATTAAAAGTCGTCGGGCTTACGCCAACGTCTATCTCGCATCAACCCGGCCCGTCTTACATCAATTAAGGCAAAAGATTTATTAAGTCACAAGCGTATCGGGTTACAAACAACGCGGGCATGCGGACGGCTGGAAATAACATAAAAATATCGACTTACACCGCTAATAACCGCACGCATTCGTTATGTTCGACCGGGCACTATCGCGTCGATAAGCGATTATGCGCACCGTGGAAAAGAGAGAGAGAGAGAGAGAGAGAGAGAGAGAGAGAAGAGAGAGAGAGAG